ATAATGGGACTCGAATTAGCATACAAATGGCGGGAACTCTTTGCAATGAGCATTTCTGTGCTGCAACAAAGAAATGCACCCTGCAAAGAAAGCTTCAAATTGGCGGGAAATTCTCCCTTGCACCGGGGTTCTCTTTTGCAGCAGAAAACTCCACCGTGCAAGGAAGCTGCAATTTAGCGGGGACAATTTAGCAGTGCCAAAGCACACAAAAACAAAAATCACACCCTTTGGGTTGTGACAACAAGTACCTGCTTCAATTAGCTTTGGTAAATAAAATAACCAAATCATAATTTTCTGATGTAGCTGCAAAATTAATCTGAAAAAAAAACTCAAAATAAATCACCACTTTAAATGTATAGTGTACTTTCCAAAAATGAAAGCTACACCTATCTCAGAGTTGTGAATAATATGTATTAAGGTTATATCAAACAACAAGAATGCACGTTTTGTAGAAAACAGTGATTAAAATCGAGGTTCTCTGACCAGTTATTTAAATTGTGATTTAAATAGATTTAAATCAAGTCTACCCTGATGATGGGCATGTTTTTTTGGAGTGACAATAGTTCTTTATATTGGTGCCAGAACTGCTATTATAGCACTGATACTACAGCAACACCATTCTTTGACCTTAATGATTATTTTAACTCAAAGGGTGTAGAAACAGCAACTGGGGGGGGGGGGTTGTGGGCTAAAGTTATGGCTTGCTACAAACACCACATAGCTCCATAGATCTCAAAACACATTTTACAGTGGATACAAATGCCATTGCCATTCTTTTGCAGATGGGGAAGCAGGTGTAAAGATGCAAAATGTTTTTCTGTGGAGCTGCATGAGAAAACAAAGAACTGAAGCCAACAGGACCTGCTTGATTTCCTGCAAGGCTGCTTATACAAACAGAAGCATGTAGCATGTAATTGAACCTGTAAAAAAGCCATTTGGGTTGGCTCTAGGGTGGGGGCTGCACTGGTGCATGTGTACCCCCTCTTTGATTCCTGGGTCCAAAGGTTAAAGCCAACTGCCTGGCAGTGGCTGCAGCATTTCTAGTCAGGCAATGTTGAGAAAGTCGCTTGGCTTCATGGCTTATTACCACCTAGCCCAGGGGTGGACAAAATGGCAGATCTGGCTGATGAATGAACTCCATTTCCCAGCAGCCCATGCCTTTGTGGAGACCCCAGCAGCAGCTACGCTGTGATAGTGCAAGGCCAGAGTTTCCATGAAAACCAACCCCAGCAGCACTGGTAGGGTTCACAGCAGGGCGCAGAGCTGCTCCGGAGCCCAGCTGGGATCATGCAGCGGTGACAATGTGGCCCAAAGCCAGGCCAGAGCTGCGATCTGCAGCCTGCACGATCTGGGCAGGGTCCAGGCTCCTTGCAGTGGTGACAGCGTGGTCCAAAGCCAGTGCAGAGCCATGATCCACTGCCTGCACACCCCTGCCTGGAGCACGCAGGCTGCAGACTGCAGCTCTGCCCTGGCTCCAGACCATGCTGTCACCGCTGCAAGATCTCAGCCAGGCTCCAGAGCAGCTCCCTGCCCTCCCAGCAAGGGTGGCACTAGAGGGGGGGTATAGCCACCCCAAAATTTCCAGTAGCCCCCTATAGCCTCCCCTCCAAGCAGCACCACCACTGCTGCCTGTCCTGCACAGGCATTGGCAGCTGAGCCCTCCCCGCTCCCACCTGCAGCACAGCCCCTCCCACAGGAAGAGTCTGGCACTGCTGCTGTCTGCCAGTGCTGCTGCTGGGGCTAGTCTCCACATAAACTGACCCCAGCCACCTGGGCAGGGACTACTGGGAAATGAAGTCCACTGACAGCTGAACTTTGCCTGCCCTGATTACTTGATCCCTTCTAAACTCTTCATCCCACAGGCATTTTTAATTGTCTTGATGTTGCACCAATCAATCTAGCCTTTCCTCTGCCATGCTGCTGTCTCTTCACTGCTCCTGGTCACAAAGCTCCTATTCCACAACCTTCCCTGAAGTTGCCTTTTTTTAAACTTTATTTTTGTTTCAGCCTTAAACTAAGGGCTCTGCTACATGTTCAAATTAAAGCCCAATCAAAACCGCCTCTACACTTGTTACACATTTTCAAGCACTCGCTCTAGAGCGGGCCTGCTCTTTTTGTAGCTGCATAGTCCTTTTATCCTGTGATCGTTACTTTGCGATTGTGGCCAGTCTACACCAGTTAATCGCGCAATAACAATTATTGTGCACATGTGGCGGGGCTACATCTATTGCACGATTAATCGAGTAACTGTCTGATAAGTATTTCGCATGTGTGGCGGGTCTACTTTTATGGCGCGACTGACCAGTTTACGGAGAGATACACGGGCCCTCCTGCACGGTCAAATGAAAGCGGGATGGAAACCAGCTCCATGTTTCTAAGCCGCCTGCAGTGGGGCGGCTCGCTGTGGGGCGGGATAATCACCGCGGTGCTGCCGATTAATCGAGTAACTGTCTGATAAGTATTTCGCATGTGTGGCGGGTCTACTTTTATGGCGCGACTGACCAGTTTACGGAGAGATACACGGGCCCTCCTGCACGGTCAAATGAAAGCGGGATGGAAACCAGCTCCATGTTTCTAAGCCGCCTGCAGTGGGGCGGCTCGCTGTGGGGCGGGATAATCACCGCGGTGCTGCGAGACCTGCCCCGCCCGTGGCCGGGCTCCAGCCCCTGCCCAGTAGGCGGCAGCAGCAGCAGCAGCCCCGCGGCGGGGCCGGGGGGCGGGGAAACCG